TGGATGGATGGATGAATGAATAAATGAAGCCTGAATAAATTAATTAATTACTAATTGGTGGGAAAAAGTTGATGGGTAAATGAATGAATAAAAAAATGAAAAATGATTTTTTTGGTAAAATTAAGACTGAAAGTGATGTAAACTCAAAATATTGATTAAAAAAAACTTCCCCTCTATCTCTCAACATCACTGAATACTTAGCGATAGTTTTCGCGTAATACACATGTAACCGGGAACCTGCTTAATAGGATATTCCAATTTTTAACGCCTTTTCACCAACGGAAGCTAACAAAGTTGAATTTAGTATAGTAGTAATAAAATATGCGTTCGGTGTGTGTAATGAAATAGAGTTGAATTCAGTTCAGTATCACGGATATTGATAGTTTATAATGAACAGAAAATGCAGCTTTTTACATGGGACAATTTTTCGCATTTTTCGCCACAGGCGAAGTGATATCGGGGAATATTTACCTCACCGAGCCGTGTGTCTCGGCGAGCGGCGAGGTAAATATTTAACATCATCACTGAGCCTGAGGTGAATAACTGTTTTGAAATATATTTTTAGACTTGAATATCAAAGAAAATACGGAATTCAGGATTTACTAAAAAAAAAACTTTTAGTAAATATTACTTCTGCTCTCGCCAACTTTCTGAATCCTTGTAATGAGCCAGCCCGTACCGCTCGGAACGAGTTACATGATTGGATTAAAAAAAACAATAGATTGGTCATTCAAACAATAGCACTAAACCTAACCCAACAAAAGCGGTACTGTACTTAGGCAGCAATGAAAAGGAGGGGGAAAGGATTACTTCTCGTAATCGCCGCTCGAGCAGTGAATATCATTTCATAATCTCGACCGCTCGACCAAACACACTCTATAACTCTATATTTAAGCCTAAAATCATACTAACGACGAAAATATTAAATGTCAGTTAAATTAATCCAGAAAGGTCTAAGTAAGTTGCCAGCGTGAAGCCTAGGAAACGTGGTAAAGAATATCCGCTGTACGAGACTAAATAACAGTTATAAGGTGAAAACTGAGAGGATTTAACAGAGACGAAGCTTAGACTGAACTCGTGTAAAGTGCCATTATCGATTAAAGACAACACCGCGTATATATATTTTTGGTCGCTTCTTAATTCTAGTTTGCGTCCGCTATGGCCCTACTTTAATAATATAAAATATAGATAATATATAGCATAATATATAGAGAAAATGAACTAAAAAAAGGAATCCCAAGCCACATCATGAGCAGTATTTGATGCTATTTTTAGAATCTTTTATGCCATATTTTCTTTTATTTGATTGTTGGTTTTTTTTAGCACGCGCACACTGCGTGCGCGCTACCCTGTTTGCTCATGTTTTCTTGTGTGTGTATTTTTTTAAAAACGTGACCAAACAGCGTATATAGAGCGCCACGTACAGAAAAAACAAACGATGGCAAATGAGATTCTAAAATTAGCATCAAACAGTGCCTATGATGGTTACAAGCATGAATACCAGAGATTCCTTCTCCTTAGTTCATTTTCTCTTGGTATAATATAATAATATATATGTATAGACAATGATACCAATTGTTGAAAATATGCAGCTCGTGAGTCAACAGTTAATTAATTAATTATATTTCCTATCTATATATTTTATTTTATTTTTATTTTTTCATATTTGATGTTGATCTGACATATGTCCTTATCATCGTACTCGATAATAACTGAACCTCAGGGACTTTTGTTTGTTTGAACTCCATTGATTATTTTTTTGCCGTACTTGTTTCACTAGTTATCAATTTTTACTACTATAACTGTATTAATTTTCCAAGACTATTTTCTATCGATCTATATCGTTAGTCAAAAGGGAAATGCCTAGCATGCGACCTAGAGTCCCGTTCGCACTTTCCGCTTTGGGTAGCGTGTTGGTTCTGTAATTTTCTTTCCTGATCGATACCCAATAAAAGTTGTAAACTTTAGTTTTATTAAAGTTTATTTATTCTTAATTAATCCATAATATTTATTATCCATATATTTCATATTAGAAATTCTTAATATAGTTTAATTTTATCAAAATTTTATTTTATTAAACACTGAGTTACATAAATGTACAAAGATGTATAAATTTTTATATTTTACTTTCTGTTATGTTATGTTTTTATTTTATGGTATATTTTTCTCGTAATCATCATCATCAACTTCATCGTCATCATCTTCGTCATCATCATATTATTATTATTTTATTCATTTCACAGGTTTTTCCTTCACCTTTTGTCTCATAGATTTTAAAAATCAATTTAAAAATAATAATTTAAAATTAAACAAATAATTGTGTATTTTCAAGCTGTGGAAACCATTTAATTAAAGTATTATCATCTCTCCGTGTGAACCTTAAGCTTTAAGCGAGTTTAATTTGTCGATTAAAAAGCAATATTGGTTTTGGGAAAATTATTAACTCAAATTAATGAAATTGCAGGGCAAATTGATTACTATTTTTGCGGTAAACTTGATCTGTTCATTCACTATTATAAGTGATCATTTTTCAGAGATTAAAACTAAGGAAATAAAAGCACTAAATCATTGGCGTTTTTACATCGATGTTTGAATTGTTTTTCTTGAGGAGAAGAGCTTCAATGAGAGAAACAACGTTTCTTAATGATTGTTTTTTTTTGTTTGTTTGTTTGTGTTTTTTTTTTTTTTTTCTTGGAAAACTTAATGGCAAAAATCGTGAGTTTAAAAGGGCTAAAACAGGAAAAAAAAATATCGATATTGATTACGAATAAGGAGCGGAGAGAAAGGAACAAGCGAAAAAGACCCAAAACAAATTGATAAATGAACTAGCTAAAAATCAAGATAAAATAAAGAACAGAGAAAGTTAGCTGATTACAGAAGAAATATTATCCTATGGCAAAGCAAGCAACAACACTAATAGCGGAGAAATGGGAAGACTTTTCTTTCAGTCGATTTGCCCTCCGCTGTTTCCGGCGCAAATACTAGCAAAACAGGTTAAATGGCTTAAAATCGTAGGTCACAAGGAAGCAATTCAAGGAAGCAAGGAAACATTGATCGAAGCAAGGAAGCAAGGAAGCAAGGAAAGTACCTTGATCACACGGCGTCATGTTTATTCCTATAAAAATTAAAAACCTCTCGTCCTGAAAAGAAATAATCAATTTAAAACTATTTAGAAAAGCCCAAAAAGAAAGAGCGAAAGAAAAACCGAATTATGTTTTCAATTCTTTCTCAATATTTGAAATCGGGAAGATATGTAATCAATCGGATCAATAACATCGTGCGCTTTGAAATTTTGGCGGGAAAGAGACGCGTGTGCGTCATGCAAATGCATGCAAATAGCCTTTACATCGTCCGAGCAAGAAAACAACTAATATAAAAACAGCTTAGTTCAAGTGGTTTTCCTTAGTTTTTCTTTACTTTTTATTCTTTAGAGAGTCCTAAAATTCCACTTTTATAATTAAGACAGAAAAATATGAATTGAGAGAAAGATATTCCCAAGAAATAATGAGCTTTGAAGGGAGGAGAATCGAATATAAAAGACGTTTTTGGAGGGAAAAAGTTCAGTTGCTGCCTAAAAGAATTTCAGAAGAAATGCAAGACCTCGATAACTGGTTTATTACCAATGCAAGCTGATAAATGTTTTGAAAAGAAAAAAAAGCTTTCTATAAATGAAGGTAAGAAATGTTTATTTGTAAATTGTAAAAATACGAAGTTTTAAAGCGAATACGTGTGTTTAAATCTTGGTTTTAACTTTACTTCAAATTGTCAAATCAAGTTAGAAGCTTGTTGAAAAGATCATAGATCTTGATGTCGACTTTAAATTACAATTCTGACATAAGAATAAGTGCATAAAGCTTATAAGAAATGCTTAACATTTAACAAGAAAAGAAAAAGTCAATTCATTATTAACTTAGTTATTTCTCCGAAGTATCAGCAAAAGTTTGGCTTAATCAGTCGTCTTTGAATATCTATGTGTTCCAGTGATGATCCGTAGACTATTTCTGAGTGTTTTTTGAAGTTGGGCATTCATTACTTTACCGTTGATATTTGTGATTATTCTCTACTTTCACATCCCAATATTGCCTTGCGTCTTTGGGGGGTAACCAATCAAAAAACTGTCCCAAATTGAAAGGTTTCTTAATTGAATTTATACTATGCCTGCTTTTATCTGTATAATACTGATAATCAGTTTATTCCAAGTTATTTTKGCGTGTACAGATCATCAAGACTTTTGGTGTCACAGAAAATGTATTGATCACTTACGAAAAAATGTTTAAAATTTACCTTAGAAGTCTTCGAAGCTTCTATCTTTTTCTGTTTTTTATTTCTTCATTTTTAGATACCAAACAATGTATTGTCAACATTATCTGATCAGCCTTCAACAAAATAAGTGGGTTTTTACCCTCTGGTTACCCCCAAAAGACGCAAAGTATTATGGGGATGTGAAAGTAGAGAATAGATACTAACCCAGTATAAATGAGTCTGTAATAACAGAGTGCCAACGTCACTAAATTATTTCTTAAGAAATTTACGATTTTTGTGACATTTTCAGAAACTGTATGTAAAAATATAACACAGTTTGGAATTTTAGAGCGATAGATGGCAAAACAGCTGAGATATAGGTAATGATAAAAAGGTAAATTATACACCGTGAAAAGATGAAAAAACTTATTGACGTTTTGGACGCTAGTTTTTTCATCTTTTCACGGTGTATAATTTACCCTTTTATCATCACTGTTTCATTAGAAACACCGACGCAGCTCACACTAGTTTTTAGCTAGTTATATCTTCTAAGATATAGGTAATTTAGTACTAAAATATGCGCATACATTTTCTCTTATTTGGGGCTGGATCTAACATAGTAAGAGAAAATAAGAGAACATGTATGGTGATTTTTGGAGCTTAAATTTCCAATTTCTACGCTGATATGTAGGCAATGTTGTGTTTTCTTCGAATGCGAACATTTCAAAACTAATTAGCAAACTTTGGAATTTGATGGAGTCATGATCCGGTACTCTATCAAGGCGGACACAGTGGTATTTGACTAATTCGAAAACGGTCGATTGGGCCTAACCTTGAGTAAATAGGTCTATAGTCATGGAACACAGCGATATTTTAAGAATTCAGAAAAGTACTATTACTCAGCATATATTCCTTTAAATCATGGGTGACTCAGGTCGCATTGTAGTACTTCATGAACTACTATCTCCGAAGTGTAGTGGCTCATAAGCATGGCAAAGTGTAGACTGATCACCAGGTGATGTGACATTAAGGGCCTGATAAGTATGTGGTGCAGGAGTTGGTTGGTTGGTTTTCAAAGACTGTCTGTCAGGAAGTTCATAATCTGTATCCATAGATGGCTGCTGAGTAACAGATGCTGGTCCTGGTGCGTCGCTTTGTTCTTTGGGTGCAGGAATGACATTTTGTTCATCTGTTGTATGCGAAAAAGCACCCAATTCTTCCTTATGTCTCTCCTACAAAAACAAAACAAAACAACAACAAAAAAAGAAAAAGAACAATGATGATAGACCCATCTACTTCCAGTTTGCGCTTAATATTTTTCTATTTCAAAGCACGCGTCCTTCCCTTTCCTCAAGTATCGCTTCTTTGTTTCTGCCGGTGCTAGCACAACACGGAAAATGTACCAAGAATAACAGGTTATATTGAATGGAATAATAAGAGTAGAGAACAACGTCAGCCGTATTGCGGCAGCCATAGGCAGACTTAATCCCAATCGGTGTTTATATTAATCCCAAAGGTTATTTTATTTCAACGATTAGCAAAATGTGGCCAATTTAAAATAGAAAACGTACATAGTTCACATAAATCACCTTAACTTACCTCTAAAGCAATGTTAGAAAATGCTGAGATCCCATTGCTGGTTAAAACAAAATGTGAAACAATTAATGCAAACTTAACGCCTGCCGGAAATTTTTGTTTACCTCGCTCATTATTCTCAGGGTGCAACCACGTGACTCAGAATCCCTTGAGATATAAATAACAGCCGCCATGTTGGTTGATCTAACAAGAAAAGCTAGTGAGGAATGCTTTGTTATCGTCAACCAAGATGGTGGCTATGACGTAACATGCACCCCAAGAATAGGAGGATACCAATCAAACAGCCGCCATGTTGGTTGATCAAACAAGAAAAGCTAGTGAGGAATGCTTTGTTGTCGTCAACAAAGATGGGGCTGACGTAACATGCACCCCAAGAATAGGAGGATACCAATCAAACAGCCGCCATGTTGGTTGATCTAACAAGAAAAGCTAATGACGAATGCTTTGTTATCGTCAACCAAGATGGTGGCTATGACGTAACATGCACCCCAAGAATATGTTAGAAAATATATACTTTAGACTTTTGAAAATGCTTTACAAATCTTGCACAAAATTCTGAAATTCAGTGCTTCTAATGCGGCCTATTGCGTGCATAAGGACGTGTTTCTTAGTGTTGTTAAATGGGAGGGGTGGGGGGACCAGTACTTAAAAGATTGCTCCACCGTCGTAGACGATTATGCTTTCCCAAAATATTCAAGCATTTTAAATCTATTTTTTATTTATTATTTTAATGCCATCAAAATATTGATTACTCACTGTTTGCTGTCGCATTCAAATGTCTCACCTAAGAAAAAATATCATACAAACATGTTGCAAGAAAGCTCAAAGTTGTATCCATTGCTTAAAATGCATATAACCCTTGTTTAATATTTTTAGCATTGATTCTACCTGGAGTGAATAGTCAATGCCGAAATATTACTTGCTTTTGAGTGTTGCCTCGCGTCTTTAAATATAATTCAAATGTTTATGAATGTGACGTCAGGTTAGGCATTTAAGTGTATTTGTTGTAACAAATAATACTAAATTTTGTCCAAGAGAAAACAAATTTATAATAACTTTCAAGTATACCATGAGTAAAGTAATAAGGATTTTTGGATATTTTTTTGTGTAAAAGAGTAAAATGTCGTATATTTTATGAAGCCTACCCTAACGTCGTAGAAAACATATTGAAAGTATAACCTTTATAACTTAAAGACGCAGCATTCAAACGAAAAAATATTTTACCAGTAAACTTCACTTTAGGTAGAATCAATTAAATAAATACTGAGAATATTGAAACAGGTATAAGCACTTTAAGCTTATACAGAATCCAAATACACAAGTGAAGCGTCCAATTTTAAGATAACTTACGTTTAGTGTTATTTTTCCCTCTCCATATGATGTAAYCAAGAAGMAAGGTGTTTAARGYAAGAATRATTCCAAGTATAACAAACCCTGTTATAATAGTATCTGAGGTAACTGTGAATAAGATTTATAATTACCATCTGTAATTGAAACTTTTCAGTATCAAAACATCGGAAAGTCGAGGATGGTAAAGCAGCAGAGCCCTCTCCTTTCAATTCTGGCTCTCTGACATGTGAGTAGAGTTTGTTAGGTCTATCTCCTGTTTTTACGGGTTTACTCCGGGTATCCGGTTTTCTTCCCTCCACAAGACCAACGAGCTAAATTCTAAATTTATATGTAAGTTAGCCGGGCCAAGGGTTCGTTCTAGATTTCGTTTATCTAGACTTTCGCAAAGAGCAAGGTACGTCGCCACGGACGTCTCGCGACTTTGTCGCTCATTCGCTGCGCTCGACAACTTCTTGCCGCGCTCTATAACTTTTTGCTGTGCTCGAATGAACTTCTCTCGCGAGACTCAAGCCGAGAGGTCGACTTGGGGCAAGTCTTGGTTTGATCCCGCGACTGAGTTGCTGTGCCCTGCTGACTTAAACCAGCACAGAAGTTTTATCAGGCTTTGATCTGTGAGTTAGCTGTGCCCTGACTTAGATCAGCCAAGAGGTTGTTTCAAGGTTCGATCTGTGAGTTAGCCATGCCCTAACTTAGATCAGCCTAGAGGTTGTTCCAGGGTTTGATCTGTAAGTTAGCCATACCCTTACTTAGATCAGCCAAGAGGTTGTTTCAAGGTTCGATCTGTGAGTTAGCCATGCCCTGACTTAGATCAGCCCAGAGGTTGTTTCAGGGTAACTCAGAGTTTGTGATCTGGATATGGATACTGATGGATGCTTGTATTGTTTGTTACTTCCGTTCTGTTAGTTTAATCTTAGCTTTGCGTCGCCGATAGAATGCGATATATTGACGTAATATTGTCAAATTTTATAAGTAATGCTTAATAAACGAGCAGGAGTGTTTTATCGGGTATAAAACACGAGGCGCAGCCGAGTGGTTTTAGACCCGATAAAACACGATCTCCGAGTTTATTAAACGGCTTAAAAAACACATGATGTAAGTTCTCATATTGTACCGAATTCTTTACGAAATGAACGAAGTTTGATAGAGAAAATCCAAGTTAAAGTTTATGCAAATGAAGACGAATCTATATCAGATATAAAACCTCCTTCACGGTCATGATTTCTATTGTGTTTCCTTCATGAATTATTTATGAGTTTTATAAATGCAGTGAATGAGTTCACTTGGAGATCGAAACATACCGCAGTTCGTTGGTGCGGCTCCAAGGTCGTTGTTATTCAAGTCTTTTACATTTATAATAAGAGTAGTGGAGTTAGCCATTTGAGGATTTCCTCCATCAGAAGCCTTTATTATTAAGACGTACTGATCTTTAGATGCTCGGTCTAAAGGCAATTTTAAAGATACTTGTCCTGTTAAGCTGTCGATCGAGAATAGACCTACGAAGGCAGAGAAAAGAAGTAAATAAAAACAGAACGTCTCAGTCTTTACTAATTTTAACTAAGATAGTAACTAACTATTTTTGTGTTTTTCTTCGATTTTTTCCTCTGCACACTATCTTGACTAATTATCCTCATTCTTTAGATCGATCTTTTGTTTGTTCATTCTTCCTTCTGATCTTTATTTTTTGCATCTTAACAGAAAGTGTTATTTTGAGTGCAATTCAAACGGTTTTTTTGGGAGGTTTGAAAAACAGTTTGAATAGAGTGACCATTTACCGAGTACAGTGGCCATCTTAAAATTTATTGTTTGAATTACGACATTATGGGATGCCGAGGGGCAACTATTGGAAAATTTGTAGACTGTACAGCTGTCAGGGTGTCTTTTAATATAACATTAAGCTTTTTGATGAGAAGCACAATCCGAGCAATTAAATTTGCTGGTGCGTACGTAGTTGGAACAATATTGAAAAGCCAAGACAAACTATTTGAAAACAGAACCCTGCCACACTATGCTTTTTTAAATTTCATACGTTTACCCCCTCGGCATATTGCATCCTTCAATTTAAGAAAATAAAGAAATAATACTCAAGACTACGATGCGCGCTATCACTGAAATGGGAAATATTCACACCTGTAGAAAAATGGTCAAGTGTTAACTAACTTCCTTACCCTCGTTGTTCCCAGATGTTATAGAGTATCGAACTGTGCCATTCGATCCAGCATCTCTGTCAGTAGCAGACACTTTGAAAAATATTGAGCACAAGTTTCTGTTGCTTGAGATGCTGACACTGTATGGAAGAGATCCTACGAATTGTGGTGTATTATCATTGACGTCCAGCACTTTCACGGTTACCTGGTATAGCAAAAAATCATACCTTATTGAATTGTCGCCTCATACGAATCGAGTTATCAGTTATGAGCTTTCGGTAAATGCTGTAGTCTGTAATAATAGCATTTTAGTCTTATATTTCTATATATTCATAATTTCCATAAGCTTGTTGAAATAAACTTAGCATCGCTATATGAATTAGGGACTGTTCATTAATTATGCCTCAGGGGGGGCTGGAGGAAAAATCGAAGAAAACCTTGGAAAAATTAAAAAAACCCCAATTTTATCTAAAAACATTTTTTGACCCCCCCTCCTTGTGACCTTTTAGACATACCTTAATTATTTGTTTTACCCCCCCCCCTTTAAGTCAGCAAATA